CTTTTTTCAAGACTTTTTAGTTATTTTAGGGCCTGTGCCTTTCCACGTAAATTTTAAAATAAACTTGTTTAATGTCTCTATTAAATTATTGGAATTTTGACGGGAATTGTATTAAACCAATAGATCAGTTTGGGGAGTATTGATATCTTTACTATGTTGTGTCTTCCAAAACATGAACACAGTGTGTTCGCCATTATTTGGGTCATATTTGATTTCTTTCATTAGTGTTTTGTCATTTTCAGCACATAGATCCTGTACATGTTTTGATAAAATTATACTTGAGTATTTCACCTGCTCATTCAGGTAATGAGGTCACACAGATGGTTTTTTTTTTTTTGTCAACGGCCAGTTTGCACAGTTCCAGTAGTGACTGATTTATGCTTTTTCCCAAGTGTAACACACACTCCACTGTATTCATCCTGCTCTTCCAGTCATCATGGTCTGGTTTCTTGATATACTGCAGGAAGATTCTGCCACCTCATTGGTTCTGCAGCTTCATCAGTTTCTCAGCATGTTCACTCTCCTCACTGAGATTGGTGAAGAAAGTATTTGGCAAATTTCTTCAAAGCCACATCATCACGGTCAAAGTAGTAAGACATGGACAGGTAGACGTAGGAGACTTACAGCTCCAGATTTACCTAGTGGTTGAGGGCAGCCTCCGAGTCCTGGTTGTAGTTCTAGCGCACTTGCAATGAGGATTCAGTCTCATGGCCTGAGGCTGAGGAGAGGCAGTGGTGTTGGCTGCAGGGCGCTGGAGTTGTGGTAGGGCCTTGGGGCAGTGAGGAGGTGGCAGAGGGCTGGCTTTGGGGTGGGGGGAGGGTAGTGTCTAGTGCCAGTTCAGTCCAAGGAGGAAACCACGTCGATTCTGAGAAAAATGTCTGGCCTGGGTCTCCATGATGCTTTGCACAGTTATAATCACCACCCTCCACCACTGCAGAAATAAAAGTACTTGGGGGGAGGATATTAGGTGCGTAAAGAGTTGTCACTGTACTGTATGAGGATTTCTACCTCATGCCCCAGAGCATAGAAAGAACTCTTCTTGTTCTTGTGAGCCCCATGTAATGTATATGATTTTTCTCTCATGAAACTTGGGAGCAAGATATAACACATTTCTTTATGTTTCTAAACCAAATTGCATTTGATTCTAAGCTGCACTCACCTGACTGGTGGCAAGTCCAGTATCAGTCATTTCAGGAGTTCCCTTCCCTCTCTGTGGGATTTTATTGGACTCCTGATGCTTACTCGGTCCCAGGAAAAAGGAGATGGATGTGGTCCTTAGTCCCTCTTGTTTCTGTGGATACCATTGTTCATTCCGCTACGGTATGACATCAGGATAACCTATACTGGTCCTTGCTAGTCTGTCCAGCTGCTGCTCCAGAAGAGCTATAGTGCTGCCATTCTCAGCAGGCCTTGCCACTGATTACAGACTGAATCCCAGAATCCCTCACAGCTGCTCTGTGTCTCTGCACCTGATGTTCAACCTTCACAGATAACCCACAGCCATATTCCACCATCTGTGTTGCTGCCAAGAAGTGAGGATTAAATTTCTATTACTGCTAGAAACCCTTCACTCAACTCCTGGCATTTCCCCAATCTTCAAGAAGTGGATTAAAGCATGGAACGTAAATTCAGACTGCCTGAATTCAAATCCTGTCTCCACCACATATTAACTCATTGACCTTGGATAAAATCATAGCCTCTCCAAGCCTCAATTTCTCCATCTATAAAATGAGGGTAATAGTGGCAGCTACCTCATAGGGATGTTGTGAAGATTAAACCAGATAATATTTGTAAAGTTTCTGGAATAGTGCTTGTTACTATAATAGTAAAGTGTAAGGTAATAGTAAAGTATAAGCTCTACATACCTAATGGGGCCCTGGTGGTGCAGTGGTTTAAGCATTTGGCTGCTAACCAAGAATGTTGACAGTTCGAATCCACCAGTCGCTCCTTGGAAACCTTATGGGGCAGTTCTACTCTGTCCTGTAGGGTTGCTATGAGTTGGAATCGACTCGACGGCAACAGGTTATATACCTAATAGGTCCCTGGGTTGGGCAAGCTGTTTGATAGGGGATACTAACGTGAAGGTTGGTGGTTCAAATCCACTCAGCGATACCACGGAAGAAAAACTTGGTAATTTACTTCCATAAGATTACAGCCATTGAAAACCCTGTGGAGAGCAGTTCTACTCTGAAACACATGAGTTCTTCTATTCTGAAACGCATGAAATCTCCGTTCTACACATGGGCTCATGGGGTCACAGGGTCTTGGGATCACCATTCTACTCTGAAACACAGCGGGGTGTGGGGTTGCGGGGTTGATGTTCTACTTTGAAACATGTGGGGTCAAGAGGTCACCATTTTACTCTGAAACACTTGGGGTTGCCATGTGTTGACTCAATGGGCAATGGATTTGGTGGGTTTTTTTGTTGTTGTTGTTGGCGTACACCTCATAGGTACAATTTCTCTGCCTGGACCACTCTCCGCTTTTGCTTCTACATGATCACAGCCTCTTTAATTGGCAAGGCTTTCACAATATAAGTGTAGCAGCATCCATTTTCAGGTAACTCTGAAGTACACTGATGATGTTAACTCCTTACCTGCAACAAACCCTGCCCCTCCTAACCCTGTGGGAAAAGCCTAGACCAGTATTTCTCAGAGTGATCCACAACCATTTGCACCCTATCTTTAGAGGATAGAGCCAGGGGGTATGCGTGTTTATTAGGCTGCCCTTGTGATTTTAATGTACACTAAAGTTTATGAACCATTTCTCTACACTATCCGTGACTTTTCACATACGGCTGCCTCTTTCTGAAATGTCTGTTTTCTCTACCCCCACCTACGGAAACAAAATACAGCCTCCTCCACTAAGCCTTCCTTAATTCATGTGTACCAACCATCAGCAGATGCTTCTGTTGCTGTGAGGTGGCTGATATGGGAAAGAATCAGAACTGAGATGCAGAGAGTGTTGGACAATACTGCGATGTTGGAGAATACTGGGATGCAGCAGCTGGACTGGAGGTGGTGGGAAGGTCCCATGGTTTGTACTTGGCGTTTGTGCACTGGAGGTGAGTTTGCAAAAAGGGTGGGGGAAGGGAGTGAAAAGCAGCAACAATGTAGTTCCCCCAGGCTCCTGATTGGTCAGAAAGTGAATTCAACCCCTCCCCCCAAGAATTCACTCGGCCAGCACCTCTTTTGTCAAGAAGGAGGGGTGTGTATGCAGAGTTGGTATGACCCACCAGGTGCTCCTGGCAATGGATCCAAGTGTAGCTAAGCCTGCACGGGTATGGGACTGCAACAAGATTGACTGCTCTGAAGGGGCAGAGCAAGATAAGAACCATTTGACCCCTGAGACTGCAAAGGCCGTGCTCTGAACCCCAGCACTCTCTCATTGTGTCCATGTGGTTGCCTCCTTCTGGAAAGCTCTCTCCATCTCTGCCAGTGGTAATCCGCAGGGCACGCCCCCAAGGTCCCTGGGGGCCTCATCCCTGTTTCTGGGCTCGGCTCAGGTGCCTGGGCCTCTTGCTGGGACTGACAGTGAGGACTGAACCTTCTGTGGGGGCGGGGGGGAACGGGGGAGGTTCCCCTCTCCTTGACCTCCTCTGCTCCACAGCCTCAGGGCTCTGAGAAGCCAATTCTGAGGAAGAACCTCCTCCTCTTCCTCCCCACTCCCTGTCCTCAAGGCTCCATGGGTTCCTGAGGCTGCAACTACTAGGGTCCTGGACACCCTCTGGGTGGAAGCGGGGTCGAAGATCTGCATTTAGAACCGGCCCCCTCACGGGATTCCGGTGTAAGAGGTTCGGCTATCAGGGACCTCAATTTGAAGAGGAAGAAAAAAAAAATGGTTGAAATTGTTTAAGAAGCTGGCAGAAGGGTTGAGACGCTGTAGGAGGAACTTAGAGGGGGTCCCTGCCGCTACCCAACACCCCTATTTCTCACCAAGTTCAGCGTCTAATCGCAGCAAAGAGTCTTCCAGGACTGCACCAAGCACACAGGTGTTTTTTTGGACAGATAATTGTCAGGGCTTCTCTTACCTCCTGCTTGACTATACTTTAGGTTTCAAATTTTATTCAGGTAGGAGTTTTAAGGAGGCTGGTTGCAAAATACTCCCTGTCCAACACTGGGGGTCCTGGGCCGGCACACTCGGATGTGTCCATAGAGGGAGGCTTTGGGGTCCTGGAGGAGTGCGGGTCTTGGGTGGTCTCCCACGAATACCCCTCCCCCCACCCCGTGCCTCCTTCCCCTAGTCTCCGGCCCCCTCCGAGCCCCTCCCCCTGACTGGCGTGC